TTGACTTTTGGATAACTGCCCTAACATTCAGGCATGTACATCTATGACTTTTTGATATAATCTGTTATATTGATCAGATCTTCAGAAACCCTTGTCTGAAAATAATTTAAATCCTTGCAATGAAACAATATCTTGTACTGGTCTTCGTTCAGAATTGCAATCTATGCTCCCTTAACTACATACCGTATGCTATTTTCATTCCATATTAAAGCTTCTAAGCTATAAAAAATATGTATTAAAATAGTTTATTCAACCTCTGTCAATCATACTACGTGATTAACTCCTATATTTTGCGCTAAAATCTCCTGTTGTTACTGTTCTCAGTTTTGAATGGTATCCATACTCTTTGGGATATACCTGAAATCCATCCATTTGAGACTCATATTTTTTCATAGATTTTTACATATTTCATATTTTGGAAACCCTTTAAAACAAGTTCAGATTATAAGTCCTATACCACTTCCACTTCCATAAGAGTTAGATGTAGGAAAACTATATGTAGATGTAGGAAGGGTTAGTTAAAGTCCTACAAAAATCACTTCAAATATATTTTAAAGGGCATTTTTTCTTTGTGGCTATTTCGATCAATACACTTTAATTTCAGGATTACTAGTACTACTACTGAGCTCTTTATATGGATTTTGTCATCATTTTTCATTGCATATCAAAGAGGTTATACTATGTAAAATTAAACTTTTCATTTTGCTTCCCGAAGTACCTTCTTTCTGCTTATAGTCCATTTTCAGCAAAGCTATAACATAAACCATTCTAAGGTTGAATCACCAAGGATTTTGAAGGTTAAAAAATTCCCTTAAGTAGTTGTCACATTAACTGTGTGGGCTCGCCATTTGCCACCAATTGACTTATTTTGGGTATTGTTTTTTTTTAAAATTAATTTACTTTTTATTTGGTGTGATGGGGATATCTTTTTGTAAAACTATTTGTTTTGCCCACCCTGTATTCATGCTGTACCCTGCCATCTGTCAGAAAGTATTCACATGGTGGTGAATGATGAGCTACAAGCCCTAAGTGTGACAGCTCCATCAAAGGAATGCATCCTGGAGGGTGTGATGTGACTCCCTCAATAATTGACACATTGGGACATGAGATGGAAATGTTAATATCTAAGTTCTAAAGTTGACTCTCTTATCTGTATTTTGAATATAAAATGGTAATTAAGATTTATTTAGCTTATGTCCAAATATCAACAAAATTTTGTTTTCAGCTTTATCACATGTTAGAAATCAAATGAAACCAGGAATACTCCTCCATATAAATTTTGTAAATATTGATATGTACATTTGTCAACATATGTCAAAAAAGCATAATTAAAGCATTACTATGTATTCATATGGATCATTGACAGTATATGGTGAATTATAAAATTGGATTTTGAAATACAGGATCAAGATCACACGATTTTGACCCCTGCGAATGATAGTCAAAATACATATAACATATCCACACACTTACATGTTCAGTTCAATGGAAAAATATGAACAAGTCATGTACATTTTTACTCAATAAGATTGAAACAACTATGTTTGTTTCTTTTTTTTCGTTATTGTAATATTTTTTATAATTGTAAAACAATGACGTTCACAGTAGATGCCCAAAAAGCTGAATAACTTTGCTAATTCTGATCCAATTTTGAATCTGTCGTCTCTTGAATGTTGCCTATATCTTCCACTCATCAAATAAAAGTCAAAATTATACACACATTCTGTCATACAGCCTAAGTTCTAATATATATGTTGCTAAACTGGGATATTCTGAACAAAAATTGATTGATGACATCACAATTTATGCAGATTAGCTAATTTGCATAATTGAATATTGTAATCATACAGGAAATAAGGTTTAATTTGATACCAATATCATTTCTATAGACCAAATAATGACAAAGCTACAAACATTTTAAACATCCATGGTAAGATGTCTGAATATAATTGTCAAATAATGACGTTCACAGTAGCTGCCTCGAAAGTTTAATAGCTTTGGTAATACTGATCCAATTTTGAATCTGTTTTCACTTTTATGTTGCTTATACCTTCTTCTTATAGTCTAAAGGACCAAACTTTGCAGAAATTCTGACATACGGCCTCAGTTCTAATAGATACGTTGCTATACTTGAAAATTCTGAATCAAAAATTGATTGATGACGTCACAATTTATGCAAATGAACTAATTTGCATAATTGAATATCATAACGTTATGGGAAATTTAATTAGGTTTAATTTGATACCAATATCATCTCTATAAGCCAAATAATGACAAAGTTACAAATGATTTAAGATTCCAAGGTAAGATGTCAATAGATGCGTAACTATGGTAACAGAATGCTACAATACAGAGCAACCAATGAGAGTTTGCAAGGGCATCCGGCAAAAAATTGAGCCTCAAAGTGTTACCTTTCAAAAAAGTATGGATGCCATAAATTAACAGAGACCGATACGTTGGGTAAATTTTTTGAAACGATAGAGAGACATGGGTTTCTGACTATACCGTGTCATTTTATATTTAGACTTCATTAGACTCCATTGTGTAGCAGTGGTGATTTTGATTAAGGTGGCAAATTTCATTTTGAAGATCTAGTTATATAAAATCAACTTCTAAATACCTTAAGGATTAGACCAAAATTTGATGTTGATGATATACACTTAAGGGACAAGTTCCTTACTCTATATATGTTTATTGGGACATCAAATTCAGAGTTAAGTTTTAAATTTCTCCAAAATGATATACTCGTATTATACTGGATTGTGAAATCCAAAGGCATTTCAGACATATGCTCTTGTTGTAAAGTTAATTATCATTTGTAAAATGTAAGAATTCATGTGACTCTATTGAGTCTATATTTCAATATCAGTTAAGTTTAACTAGGACAGCGTGGAGTAACTTTAAAGTCACTAAATATTGTTATGGTAACAAAATGGTTGAAACAGATCACCTGGGTGATTATGAATGATTCAGTTTGTAATCCATGTAACATGTTTTTATTATTTCAGTTAAGCAACTCCTATTGTTTTCAATGCAATTTACTTGAATTGTTGGTTGCATTTAACATTTATAACTAGACAACAGTAACGCCAAAGGGTAGCAAATCCCATCGAACAGCCATGGCTGGCATTTTTCCAAAGTATATAGCTTTCGAGCAGAACTTGTAGCCCCATAGGGTATATGTGTACAAAGTATGAACAAAAGCAGGCCAACGGTATTTGAGTTATTGCCCGGACGGACGTACGGACAGACGTATATACGGATGGAGGCGTTCCCTATATCTTTTCTATTTCGTTCGATGGGATAATAATGCCATAAACATCCTGGGTTTAAATTCATACATTTTTTATAGTGAAAATATTATTCATTTTGTTCCCATAACGAGTGTTCTGGATCTAGGTACTCCACAGTGTAGGAAGTGTCTTAAATATTTTAAAATTCTACCCTAAAAACAAGCATGTACATAGAAAATGTATATTATATAAAATATACCAAATTGTACTTATGTATATTTAAATATGAATCTCGTAACTTTTCCTCCTGTTTCTGATATTGGTACACCATTCACTGTATAGAGGTCTCTCAGAGAGAGAAATCCATGACAAGCCAAATAAGAGCTATTTTTCAAGTGAATACTTTTTGAGTACTGTCTGTAATAACAAAGGTTTATTTCAAAAGTATGTTCAGTATTTGAAAGGCCTCTACAGTTAGTGTAATACCACGATGTCAAGAAACGAAGATGTTTGCTCACAAATGCACATGTATTCATCTTTTTACACTCCTATGTCATTGATATGTTGAACTAATAAAATGTATATGTGAATGTATGTTCTAGTTATGTCTGATTTTTTTATATCTGGTAGGCCCATGAAGGACTAAGTCATGAGGGTGCGAAAATGTGTCAAGAAACAATGGTACCCCCACAGCTAACCCCACAACAGCAAATTTATTTCATGATGCAGGATGTGTTTCCCTTAAACAGAATTTAGTTCATTAACCTTATCCGCACCTTGTGTTTATGAGGAGCTCATAATTGTTAAACATTTCCCAATTTTTATAAACTCACACAAAAACTAGATGACTTTCAAGATTCAATTTGATATCTTGATCACCACCAACACTGTATGATTGGCTCAGTTACATTAAAGAGAAGTGATATCTTTCAAATCTATGCATTGTAGAGAGGTTTGATGCATGATGCGTTGCTCGCTATAGAATGAAACACACTTTCCACAACTTCCTTTTTACTAGGTTTCAACTGAGCAGAGAATATTCCATGGATATCATATTTATCCACAATTTGAAAACTCCCGCCACTGTGATGTGTATTGTTACATGATGACTACGTTTCAACTACGCAATTAAGGTGAAGACTCAACATGGCTTTCGTAATAAAATATTATAAATTATTTAAAGATGATCTGGGTCCACACCGGGCGCACATGCAATCCACACCAAATGTTTTCAGTGAGCAGAGAATATTCAATGGAAATCACATTTATCCACAATTTGAAAACTCCCACCACTGTGATGTGTATTGTTACGTGATGTAATCATGACTCATTGATATAAATATCTGCACTCATTCGCTACCCTCACTCGTCCAGATATTGATATCAACTTGTGGATAATATACAAATATTTAATTCTATTGAGGTGAATACCAATCTTTAATTCTATTTTCGGTATATACCTGTGACACTTTCACAAGATGATATTCCACTAGCCCTTCAAGCTTCGTGGAATATCACTTGTGAAAGATGCACAGGTATTCACCTCAATATAATTAAATATTTGTATAATATTACTCAAAATCATGGAAATCCTATTCTTATCAATTTTAGAATAGAAATAAAATGCAATCAATTATTCAATTAAGATTGGGTTATTTTATACCGGTTAATAGTGAAGAATTTTGTATTTGCAGGAAAGGGATTTTATATACAATTCAATCAATTTTATGCTCCAAAATATCATCATGAATTAAGAATAATTTAGGATGAGAATGACATCTATTGGCCCTTTCATTTACATACACTATTCAAGTCTAGGATCAAACTACAACTAGGATATATCGTTTCATGTTTTTTCAATTTATTTACAAATTAAATATTTTTTCACACATTTAGAACAGCTAAAACTATTGCTGATTTACTTTCAACAAGTTGTGCAGACATTCAAATAACATTTGAATAATGACCACTGTGTTCAAGCAATAACAAAAGGAAACCAGAAGAAGGTATAACGATCAAATATCATGTTTTTATCCTTATACAAAGTAAATGCATGTACCCTTGATACTTTTTAAATTTTTTCAGTTGCTCGTAATAACATTATATAGCAGTTTATCAAATTCACTTGATAAAAGACAAATCACTTTTAAAAACAATTTTTCTTCACAAAGACGTCCATAAAACAGCAGGCAATTCCACAAAAATCTTAATCACCAATAGGTTTAATGGATACTGGTATTTGATATTGGCAAAAAGTGGTTTCTTTCGATACTCATAAATCCTCTGCATAACAAATTTCCTAGTCGTAGATGTTGTCACTAAATAATATGCTTATATAATAATAGGAACATCCCCTAGTTCTTCCTCTGAGGGTAGTTCTATTTGGTCCCGGGGGACAAGTTCAGGATCTATGAGAGGGAGTCCATTAGCTTCTCTATGTGCAAGTACTAGAAATGCTTCCCTTTGCGACCAATCTCGCATCCTGGAATTACATACACAAGAAACATTAATGGAAGAAAGATGCTGTTTTAAGTAGATCAACCTCCCCCCATTTCCAATCTAATACAGGGAAGAGAAATGTGGGAGGAATGGGGCAGTGATCAAAGACTTAATGCAAAATTAGATTTCATTCCATATCAAGATTAGGATAGTAGAAATCAGAAATTGGTTTCACTAAAATATTGTAAATCATAATTCTTACATATCAACTTTCTTAAACAATAGGTCTAACTGTATGTATATAAATATATCATTGTAAAACAAAGATGAATTCAATACAAAATAACGCTACAGACTTTAAAGCCAGCTATTAAGGCAACATGTATATGTGTCACACCTGTAATTATATTCACTAGACATGAACTAGGAAATTATACTTCATGTAGGAATAACATACCTATGGTCAGGCATATATGCTGCTACAAAACTTCCAGTAACGAGACACAGAGTTACACCCATAAACATAACTATCCTATGGTGCCATTTGTCTTCATGGGGGTCTGTTAGTACATAGCCATATGAAATCCAGTTCTGAAAAACAAGAATACAATATATCAATCAATAAGGTGGGTATACATTTAAATACGTATGTATATTCTAACATCTTTTATCTGCACATTTCTCATTAGGAACACTTTTTTTGTTCCATTTTTGCCATATACTAGCACTGTAAAAAATCCTGAAATGTGAACCTGCCAATCCGAACACTTCTGACTGATCCAAGTGACTTCAGAATTCAGATTAGACAGGTCCTATTGGAATTGTATAGTTTCTAAATAGCTGAATAACGCTGACATAATAGATGTCACCCTTGTTTGTCTTTGATTTTCTTGGGCCCAATCCTTCATTCATTTCAATGCTAGAAACTTGCCTTGCAATAGTCACTTAAGTTCATGATTTATCAAAAAGTGTTGGTTGAAACTGTCTGAAACTTGAATGACATACTATTGGATGACCCTGTCAATGTACATATTGTGATTAAACATAAAAACATAAAAATGTTGGTTGTCATACAATAAGCCAAGGTTTTGATGAATTTTAGTATTGCACCAATGAAGATTTGGCCCAAGTTTTTTAAAATGATGTAAACGACATAACTGTATAAATCAAAGCTATTATTGGAGAAAACTTGTCACTGAATTCAAACATCAAAAATAAAGAAAGGGTCATAAGACGTAAAAAGTGCAAATATCTTAAAATCGCATGAAAAAGCGAGAATTAGCGAGATTTCAAAGCTATTTAGAAACTCCTCTATTGTATATATACAGAAGCCAATATGATCCAAAAATCCTCTGAAGAAATGAATAAAGTTGTTTTAGTATTTAATTCTAATATGATATTAGAGAGGTGCTAGAAGAAATTACAACCTCCCATGATCAACAGCTCAACATATTTAGAGAGTACAACATTTGTGACTTTGGGGGAATGTATTGGATGGATGTTAGACTTAGCTTGTGCCTAAAATTATCGGCTTTTGAAATGTATTAGAAGGTACAATTACTGCTCTTCAAAGACCAGAAAAAGGAACGAAGAGATGGTCATGGAGGGACATAAGTAGACCAGAACAACGGCAACGCCAAAGCGTAGCGAATCCCATCGAACAGAAATAGCTGGCATTTTTACAAACGAAGCGCAAATATCATAAAACAACACACCAGAAAGGCCACCATTTTCAAAATGGTTGCTCACTAGCCAAGTTGTCATCAGAAGAAATAATATGCTTTTAAGTAGCCACCTCTAAAATTTTTGAAAAATCGCACACATGCTTGTAAAATAACACACATAAAAATGGTGGCCATTTTTCAAAATGGCCGACTACTCCCTAAAGTTTTGTGCCATGCTTAAAGTATTCACATATCAATTATGAACAAAATCGCTCCACTACTTTTCGAGTTATAGTAAAATACGTTAAAATGGCGGCCATTTTTCAAAATTGTTTTCAAAATGGCCGCCTTCTACCAAAAGTGTCATAGGACAGTGTGCCATGCTTATAGTATTCACATACCAAATATGAACAAAATCGCTCCACTTCTTTTCGAGTTATAGTAAAATACGTTAAAATGGCGGCCATTTTGAAAAATGGCCACCTTCTACCAAAAGTGTCTTTAGGGACAGTGTGCAATGCTTATAGTATCCACATACCAAATATGAACAAAATCGCTCCACTACTTTTTGAGTTACAGCAAAAATCGTAAAATGACGAGTAAAGGCCGCCATTTTTCAAGATGGCTGCCATGTGCTTCTTTAATATCTACATTTGTAGCATTATTAACGTCCTTTATAATTTTTTTACATTTAAAACATATTGCTATTACAGTTTACATATTGCACCTAAATTACTGTAAAATCGTCACTAAAATGGCCGCCATTTTGAAATGAGCGGCCATTTTGAAAATCGGCTTTCGAGCAGAACTTCTAACCCCATAGGGTATATGTGTACAAAATATGAACAAAATCTGGCCAACCGTATTTGAGTTATTGCCCGGACGGACGGACGGACGTACAGACGTACGAAATTACATGGCTGACTGAATTAGACATCTTCTTTCCAGATCAGAATTGGGCCATCGACTCAATTAAAGTCATCACTTCAAAATTTCCACAAATACCTGTAATTACTCACAAATATAAGTAGTTTTAATATGGAAATATATTTTGAAACAATGTTAAAGTAACATATACATATATATTACATGTACAGTAAAAGGGTGGTTATACCACGAACTCTCAAAGCGGTTATTTATGAAACCAAATAATGACAAGTAATGGTTACTCACTATTTCTACTTGTCTGTGACGCTGGTTACCCAAACTATCTGAGATCCTTCCTTAACCTTGTGGTACCACTAAATCAACTGAGTGATCCTAACAACTCACAGTGATAGCCTATACTACCTACTGGCTGTGGAAACATGGTGTCTTCATCTGAATTAACTAACTCACTAACTCTTTGTCCTGGCTCACAGCGAATCCCTATACTACCTACTGGCTGTGGAAACACTGTGTTTTCATCTGAATTAGCTAACTCACTAACTCTTTGTTCTACAAGTCCTAACACTTAACTATATTCTAATAACTCATGAACTAACATTAACCTATAACGGTTACATACTTAAAATATTGTTCTAACAACTTCCCTATGCTATGAATGCATAGATACTACTTAGTGGTAAGTTTTCAGTTATAATATCTCATTTGGACATAATGACCCATAAAAATGTGCATTTATCAGACAGAATGTTGCTGATTCAATGATAATAATCAGTCAATGTATACTGGGACACCCTGTAATAATATTAGCGATATTCTAATGTTTGCTGGTAACGGTAACTCTTATCGTCGCTCCGGTACAATGAAGGCTTTGTTTTGCTCAACTACTAAACTCAGCACAATCCTTCTATATAACATATAATCTACTACTCAATCTGGCCTTCTGTGCAAGTGATCACGGTTTATTGTACCACACTATAATAACTCCAATATGTCAATCATTGAATGATATGCCATCATAATGATCACGGTATAATGTTACACTCTATAATGATATTGTGCTGGTATGCTGGTATCTTAGGCTCCTATATGGTCGCTCTGGTTCATATTCTGTCTGGTTCTTATTGTAATTGTTGATCACAGCAAATTGTGACATACTATTATTCTAACGCCAATCTATTAATGCTATAACACCATAATAGTCAATGTATATGGGAATACTCTGTATCGATAATCACTGATACTCATTCTAGTCTCCAGTTCACGTGTAAATACTGAACACTGTTAATACACACTATGACTACTGCTGAAGCACTATAACTACTCGTGCCAATCAATTAACGTTATAACACCATAATAGTCAATGAATATGGGATTACTCTGTATCGATATCTTCCTATGAATCTCTGATACTCATTCTGGTCTCCAGTTCCCGTGTGAATACTAAACACTGTTAATATACACTATGAATTCTACTGAAGCACTTTAACTACTAGTGCCAATCAATTAATCTTATAACAACCTAATAGTCAATGTATATGGGGATACTCTGTACCGATGTCTTTCTATAAATCACCAATACTCATTCGGGAGTTGAGTTCACGTGTGAATACTGGACACTGTTAATACACACTTTGATTATTACACTAGGCAAATCAGTTAATGTTACAAAACTACATCTACAAGCAACACTGATCACATGCTATAAATCGTGCAATTTGTTGCGTATCTCAAGGTATAGCTGCTATATTCTGTAAAACAAACCACCACCACAAGCGTTAGTATAAGGCCACTGGGAAGAATAATCTACTATACTCTATACCTGAAAACACATAAAAATATACCATATTACATTCCTCCCTTCCTTGACCTACACTAACCCAAGAATTTATTTGTGCTTAGTACAGCTGCGTTTACTACCTGCCGGCAAAATGTTTTTATTGCTGACTTCACAATGGTGTTTCGGAAAATTCACGGTATATTGGGATTCACCATATGGCAGTTCCTGTTCTTCATCCCAAAACTGTTCCTCATCATCTTGGGACAACTCATGAAAGTTAGATTCTGAAGAAGTATCATCTTCCTCCCCAGATAGATCATCTTCCTCACCAGAGAGATGATCGGTAACTGGGACAGTCTCTTGTTCTCCATCTTCATGGTTATTTCTGTTATTGATAATAGCATCATCTTCCAATTCCTCATCTGAACTGGAATTGTCAATTTCACTATCTGACCCATGCAAATGAATGGGCAACCCCTCGGCTTTCCCATCTTGTATAGGTTTTTCAATATCAGCTTGACTGGTATTGAAGATTCTTCGACTGATAAACTTCTTCAGCCTATCATAATTCACATGGATCACTTTGTTGCCTAAGTCCACCTTATATGTGACATCAGATGTGCGCTTTAAGATCTTAAATGGCCCCTTCCATGGATTATGAAGCTTCCCATCTTTTCCACGTGCAGTTGGGTCAAACAGCATGACTTTGTCACCATGTTCATATTTCTGGAACGTTCCTTTGAGATCCTTATCATATTGAGCCTTTTGTCGCTTCTGAGATTTACTGATGTTGTCTTGAGCCAAGTTAAATACCTTCCTCATATCCCTCTGAAGAGTAGCCACCCAAGATTGTGCAGAGACCCTTTCAATTGGGTAAGCTTCACCAACCATCCAGTCTATGGGTAAATGAGCTTCTCTGCCAAAGGTCAGCATGAAGGGCGAAAACCCGGTAGTACTATGAACACTTGTTCTGTATGCAAAGAGGACTAAAGGTAGCTTTAGATCCCAATCACGGTTTTCCTTTGCAAATATGGAGAGAGAGTTTATCAACATTTTATTATTCCTCTCTATCATGCCATCTGTCTTTGGATGATATGAAGTGGTCCGTCTTTTCTTGGTTTCAAGTACCCTGCATAGCTCTTTAAACAGTCTACTTTCGAATTGAGACCCCTGGTCTGAATTTATACTGACTGGACAACCAAACCTTGATATCCATTCCCGAACCAGTAGTGACGCTGTTCTCTCAGTTTTGATGTCTTTCA